GGGGGTAAGAGCGTTCCGATGTCTTCGGGAGTGAAGCTTTCTGATTTTTATGCGGATGAGGTAGAGACAGACTTTCCGTTTCGTGAGCTAGTCGGATCTTTGATGTGGCTGGCGACTCAGACTAGACCAGACATTGCGAATGCTGTAAGGGCAGTAGCGAGGTATTGCACATCTCCGAAGCAGGTCCACTGGGATGCAGCGATAGGTATTTTAGGGTATGCGAGGAGGACGAGTCACTTCGGTATTTAATTTCAGAGAGGTACGGTAGAGGGATTCAGCTTGCAGGGGTACGCTGATGCGGACTTTGCGAGCAAGGCAGCAGACCGTAGGTCGGTATCAGGGGGGATCGTGACGTGTGGAGGAGGCGCCGTGTCTTGGCTTTCTAGAACGCAAAAGTGCGTTACGCTTTCGACGACAGAAGCAGAGTACGTCGCGCTTGGTGATGTAGTGAAGGACGTTTTGCTTTTGAGGCAGGTTTGGCGTTTCATGCTGCCACAGGTTGGCATGCCGTGCATCCCAATATTCGAGGACAACCAGGGGGCGATTCACCTAGCGCAGAACCCCATCTCGAACTCGAACTCGAAGCACATAGATGTAAGGCACCATTTTCTCCGGGAACTGGTAGAGAGGAAGGAAATTTCGGTAACCCACGTGCCGTCACCGTACCAGCGTGCAGACTTTCTCACGAAGAGTTTGTCGAAGGATGCTTTTGAGTCTCACCGTGATTTTGTGATGAATTTGGCATGAGTGGTCATTGTGTGTCTGATGAGTTCATTTTGGTTTTGTTTCGTTTTCCGCGCCAAGTATTCGTAACGCGCGATGGCATATTTGTTTCTTTGAATTGTTTTTCTTTCTCATATTTTGGCATGATCTTGATGGCATATTATTCTGGAAAAGATGTCTTTTGGTTGAGATATCAGATGTTAGCGAAGTTTTCATTGAGAAACTGTTGCGAGCAGGGGGGATGTTAGATATACTCGTAGCAGTATCTGGTCGTGAGTATCCCAGGGGGATACGTGTTGGGAATTTCGCGTATTGTGGGGTACCACCGGTGCAGTCACGGGGACCCTTTTGGCGTGGCGGATGTGATGAGGCTTGCGTGCGTGCAGCTCACTTCCTCTCTCTCCACCGCTACCGCCGTCGCTCTCTCCAATCAAGTTTCCTTCTCCAACGCTTACTCCAACGCCACCTCAATCTCTCTCTCTCGGCCTAACACGGCCGACTACCCAGTGCCCCAAGTAACGCGCAGCACGGGCTTGCTGCACCCCAGCGTAGTTTACCTTTCACCTATTTAGCACACCTTTGGGACCAGAACGAGATCAATAGGGCACCGATTGACGATCTGCTCGCTTCTGGCGAAGAAGAAAAATAGCGCGCTCTTCTCCACACCCTTTTCGTCGTGCTCCGAGAGCAGATGGCCGTGCTTTACCGGTGTATGTAGCCTATATTTTTAGGAGATTTTGCTCCCCAACCCCGGGGTTTCTACGCGAAAAGGCGTGCACAAAAGCGGAGATCGCGCGCGCGTGCGATTCAGACCAGGACAAGAAATACCGACAGAGACGCAAGAACACCACCAACAAACGCATCATCGCTGAGACGCTGGTCTGAGACCAGCTATGAAAACCAGGAGGGGCCGGGCCTATACGACCTGTGCACCGTGGATATACTGTAGGCATGCGCCATGTGTAACCTGGCGGGTATTTATTGATGCTGAGTGTGGGTCCAACCAACTGCTTCAAAAAGAGCACACCGATGATCACACAAATAACAAATAACACACCGTCCCAAGTCCAGATCACACCTATCATCATCGAGAGAATCCGTCGAGGGCGTGAGGGTCTACTACTCCTGCTGCTGTGCGTTGTCAGGATGGTCCCCCGCGGGATCGATTCAGATTGCGTACTTACGCCGCGTTACTGGCTGTCTTCGCAAAGAAAGCCGTGCCCTCTATGCATGCTGTTGTTGCTGCTGCAGGGCTGCAGCAGGGCCTCTCGGCCTCTCGCATCAAAGTCATGACGTCACATGACCATCAACGGCTTATTGTTGTTTTTGGTTCATCCTGGACTGCTTGCTTTCACTTGGGCGGGAAATTCGGAAAGCTTGAGACCAATGTGGCGGGCAACTTAAGTTGTGAGCCTGACGCAATATTTGCCATCCATCCTATGTCTACGCTGCTGGTCGTGGTCCTCAACGGTGTGATGTGTGATACGTTCGCCGCCGGGGGATGCCGCATGTATGTGTGCTTCTTCCAGATGCCCAGATGCGCGTGTTGGCGTCCGCACAGTGGAAAGACTAAGACTTCACATTTTTTTTCTTGGTGCATGTGCATCAAAACGGAAAGAAACAACCGCATGTAACGTGCAAAATTTTGAACGGTGGTCGCTCCCGTCGCACGCCTGCTGTCCCTCTGTGTGGTGCACGCACAGTTGCACCACAAACAATTCACGCTGGTGTGTGTCGGGATTCGTGCACCATCAGCATCGCAGATAAGACTACATCAAGGTATTGAGTCGCACCACGCGGCTCATTACCCCCCCATACCTCGTATTCGCTCCTCCACCCCCTTGGAGCCATTGTCGTGCAAACTTTCGAGCTCACTCGAGTGCGTGTTTGAGTTTTTTTCATGCCTTGTTGTCAAGAGGATATTTCCGTGAGTGAGTGCTGGAGTCGAAAGGGCGGTGACGGTGAGCTGCACCGCAAAATCGACATATATATTTGCATGCCTGACCGAAATATTGTTGACCAACCCGCAAACTCCATGCCAGCTTGGGTTGATATTATCATGGAAGTGGTAAGGTTCACGGCCGCAACTCCGATGAAGTTTCACTATATTGCAGTTTGTGGGAAAGGTCAACTTGTACATGCAGCCCAGACGGCGGGGCTCCAATGGCCGTGCCTGGTGGTGTGATTGTGGCCGTTGTAACCTCTCCCAAATTCTGGCGAATGGAGTGAAGATGTGTGAAATGTTGTCAAACGGCGCATCCCGAGAAAACAGTGAGTGAGCACGACCATGACCTCCTGGGGAGGGGCATTTCGATGAAGCGAGGTTCGATTCTTAACGCCCTTCGTTTCCGCCACCAGGAACCACCCGTAGCTCGTCACTACAGCAGGACACACTACTACTCATTTGATGCGATAAGATTAAAGAAACAAATTATCCTTTGACAACATGGAGCTGCACCCATAAAACCGGCGTATATGCTTACGCCCAAAACGGAGCGCTCTCCCCCCACTTTCTTGCCGGTGGGGCGACTTCCTGGACACGCGATGTGAATAGTCTATGTAGTTGGGAGAGGGGAACAAGCAGGAACCAACCGTCTCCAAATATTTCACGAGGGCGACACGCTGCTGTAGTGTCTGGGGATGTATCTTCGTGTACAGACTCGCTCGTTCCACCGGTTCTTATCTCGCTCAACCGGCTCACTCTCTGAAAAGTCTCGATCCTCGGTTGTCCGTCACGACTTCCCACGGCTGGTGGGCACGATCTCGTGCCTTCATAAGGGTTTTGAGGGAGATAGTCTAGACTAGTTCCCCGCCCGATGAAGTCGGCCCGATTCCGACGCTTGGCCACTTCGTCCTAACGTTGCCGCGCCGCGACCGCCAGGGTACACGCGCATGAACCCGTGCCATGACGAGACGAGTTCAAAGTCGAACTTGGTCCTTCTGTAGGCAAGTCTACTGAAAATAGAGTACAGATAGATGAGCAACGGAAGGAAGGTGCGGCTTTTACCTTTTGCCTCACTTTCGGGTTCGAACAAGGTCCATGTCAGAGGCATATTCCCGTAATCACGGATAGCACTCGCGCTTGCGCAAGGTGTGTGTAGGTATAGATTGGTTCAGATCAAGGGTGCAGAGTAAGAAAAGTGTGTTGGATCTCTGTTTGCTTTCCATGTTTCGAATGTGAGCAAAGACTATTACTGTAATAACCAGAGGTTGTTTATAGTCACCGTCTTTGAATGTGAGTTTCGATATCCAAGGGGTTCCGCGAAATCAACCAGCGCGTATGAGCACGCCCAATGTTTCCTGCGTGCGATACCCCTAGCATTTTACACCGCACGTCACGTGCACCGGCAACCGCAATATGACAGCGGAAGCCTGCGAAGGCAAACGACTCTGAGCACTTCACGAGGTGCGACGGATAAGCTCATCCAGCGTTGCTTTGTTGTGCAATGTGTTGCTGGAGTACATTTTCTCCTTGTGTACGATAGCCCGTCGCGCACTTTTCGGCCTGCAACAAGGTTGCCCATCTGGCAGCAAGCAGTCGGCATCAACCACCTCTGTGTGGGAGGCTCTGTCTGCTACAGCAGTGTACACAGTTGCGACACAAGGTCCGATGACACTAGCACCTGGGCTGTGCTATTGCCAACTACCCTTTGCTTGTGTGTAGTTGCCATTGTCTCCAAGTTGTGCTCCTCCCTGGGCTAACGTTGCTTGGTACTTAGCGTCCAACAACAGCCTGCAGCCTGCTGCTGGTGTGTGGATGTAATGGTCTTGTGGACCGCTCTCGATTGCAACGGACCTACCCTGGAATCTATCTGATAGTGTCTGCACCGGCCCCCCTTCTATTGTAGCACCGACTTTGTGTCGCAACACACAATGACAGGGAAAAAATTGGGTGTACCTGACGTCGTTGTTGGCATTCGTGTGACGTGAGATATCACCCCCCCCCCGTCGTGGTGTTTTGAGCAAGACACGATTTCCAGTCAAAACGCGGCAGACTGACTGCACGTGCTGAAGCACACAGAGGAGGGCGGACGATATTGTGGCAGACAAAATCTTCGCATGCGCTTCGTTTGACCTCAGTTTTGGACTACACCGGCAACGGTTGGTAGACAGTCATGTGTGAGTTGCGCTGCTAAGTCGGTTTGCTGTATTTCGGCCGGTTTATTTCCCCCCTTCTGGTGCTGGTGCTCGTGCTCCTTCTGTTGCTGCTAAACTCGTGTGCTGAGTCGCAGCAACTCTCTAGGAGGCATCCGGCGTAGGCAAGGGGGGTTAGCACTATGCGTCTGCAGCAGAAGACCGCCCTGCAGAAGGTCAGCGTGCTGGTCAAGGCCGGTATGATGGAGCCTCCAAAGTGGTACGCCGCTGCCAAACAGGTTCGCCGCTTTGCTTGTTGCGCACACCACCGGTGTGTGTTTTGTGGGGGTGCTTTGTTTGTTTCTCGAAAGAGTTTGTGACTCGCGAAGAAGGCTCGCTCTCAACTAGGAGGATCGGTATCAACGTGCCAACCTCAGCTGGGACCGCTAGCATGGACGATACTGCCGCTGTCGTCCGCGTCCGCAGGGACGGCGGCGGCCAGGAGCAACGGTGTTCCTCTGCGTGAACTGGGCCGACACGACAAGGAGCAGATATTTCCTCCTGGCTTCGTGTCCCACCCCACGTGACACTCTCGAAACCACTTGGCACGCAAGCCGAACGCAGATGACCACACGCGAGCGGAGCGAGAAAAAATATCCGAACATTTTGTAGTGTATGTCGGCCTGCGTGCACAACGCTCCTGTCGAACCGGAGGGCAGGCCGAGTCTCGTGCATGACCTTTGACTAAATCACCACTTCCCCCTCTATCAATGCCGGCGGTTGCCCCCCTTTTATCCATACCCGCGGCGCAGGTTCCTCCTTTCCAGCGGCGCCCTTCGAACGGGATCGAGGCGCTCAAGCTGCCCTGGGACACCCTGGCCAACGAGTTCGCGAGCCGCAACCCCCACATGGTGGAGGACCCGGAGTGGCTGGGCCCCCGGGGTTTCCGGCCGGGAGCCCCGCCCATCAGCCACGTGTTCGCGAAGCGGCAGTACGCCTTGATGCAGAACGGTGCGGGCTAAGTGTGTGAAGAGGGGGGCCTTGTCCGTTCATGGTCCATTTTTCCGAGGCGGCGTCTTGTGTGTAGACGTTTTAGTCCTCTTGTCCACAGACGAAAATGAGCTGTGTAGCGTCGTCGTCGGTGTTGTTTGTTTCGTCTCTAGCAATGGAGTGGAAGAGCTAACGGAGGAGTCGGAGATGTCGTCCGGGATGGGTTTGGGGGGTGGTGCTATCTACGAATGCTCAGGGGTTTTGGTCGCGATCCCAGGCTTCCGCGACCCCTGTGACCCCTGTCCGTGCCGTGCATCTTGCGCGTGCTGCCTTGGCATGACCTACAAACCTTGACCTTTTTTTTTTTTCTCACTTTAAACACAACAATTTCCATCTCTTCCACAGCTAAATGGTAGATTGGCAATGAATTTAGTAGCGTCAGCGGACACACCTGTGTTTCTACGATTCCCCGGGTTCAGTGTTTGCTCGCGCTGTTGGGCAAGACCGGCGGCGGCATGCTGTAGGTGACACGAGATACCACACCCCCTGGACCGATTTTCAAAGCTTGATTACTCCCCAGCAGAAGGAGTGGCAGTGCCGAAAATGGCGGCGTTGGCACCATCCCGTCAAGATGTTTCCGAAAACGCATCAGAATGAGTTGGCATCCTCGTCTCCTTGGGAGAAGTGGAGCTTTTCAAAATCGGTCCTGGGGGTGTGGTATATTGTGGTACCTACGGTCGGTCCGTAGTGTTGTTTGCAAAACCCTTGCGGGGTGTTTTTTGAGGGCGGGGATGGGAAGGGCAGGTCGGGTGTGTCCTGTCCTTGGGCATCGCAGTGCGGGTCGCCTGCGACCGCGGTTGGGTCGTCATCGAACCTAGCCGGCGAATCCCTACAGCCGCTCGTTTCTCTGAATTAAGACCATGGGTGGATACACATGACGGGCAGTCTTCGTCCTTCGACGAAAGATATTATCTACAGCATGCGTATGAATGAACATGAATTTCCTGTAGCGGTATCTATAAGACAAAATTGGAGGCATGACGGGCTGTCTCTTGATGAAATATATAATCGCTTGCATGAATGGACATGAATTTGAAGCGATATCTATTTACGTGCTGAAAACACACGTTGTTGAACCTAAAACTGGTCTGTTTTTTATGTGGCTTGAACTGCAGGGCTCATGAAAGAAGACGCGTACGAGCGCACTCACGCGCTCATGAAGATGGAGCGATCGGCCGACGTGGCAGCTGTGCAGAAGATGGTCAGGGAGGCGTCGTCGATGGCAGGGGGACGGCCCAGCTTCGTTTCTGACGACGACGTGTACAGCGGCCTCAAGTTCTGGCAGAGCATGATGCAGGAGACATCGTGAGTCATTGCTGCTGCTGCCGTTGTTGTTGTTGTTTTTGTTGTTCACGTTGTTCGTTGCTCGTGCGTTGCTACTGCTGCAGTTGTTGTTGTTGTCGACATTCTTGTTGCGTGTGCGTTGCTGATGCGACCGTTGTAGCTGTTGTTGTTTTTGTTGTTGTAGATGTTCTTGTTGCTCGCGCGTTGCTGCTGTTGCAGTTGTAGCCGTTGCTGCTGCAGTTTTTGCTGCGTCTTTCATATTGCCGCTGTGTGTAATTTTTATTTATGGCGTTTTCGGGTTGGTCTTCAAACTAAATTCGCGACCGAACACGTTCCTCTCTACTGTCGCGGTCCATGAAGCTACTCGGAGTGGGATCTCGCGGCGAAGCTAGGCCTGGATGCATTCCTCCGCCGAGAGCTGATTGGCTGGGATGACGACCGCCTTAAGCTCGCACAGAGCGCCAGGGACGGCACGTCGGTAAGAACCCGAGATTCTTGTTGTTTTTTGTGTGCCATATATATATACATTTTCTTCCAGACCCGACCCAAATCAAAACTCACCTCTGTCTGCGGATACTATGGATGGTCGAGGATGTATGAGTGATGAATCCATAGACTTATTCTACGTAAACTACGTGTTGTCTATAACGTGTTCTCCGCAAGCACCATCAACACTCTTTTCCGGCATGACTCGCATGTATATTTTTTCGCCGCTGGAGTATTACAATCTGCTCGCGAAAAATTTGGCCCCGACTTGAAAATTGACTCAGGCTGCCCTGGAAGCGGAGATCAACCGCCTGCGGGTGACCCTGTTCCCGGAGACAAAGACAGCGGAGTACGCGTACCCCTCCGATGTCGTGCGTCCCCGTGACGACGCAAACGAAGGTAAGCACCGTCCCATCGTGCAAAGATTTAGCAGCGGGCCCTCTCTTTTTTTTTTGTTCCTGAGTGTTGTTGTTGTTGTTGTTGTTGATGATGATGTCTTGTTGTGGCTGTTGTTGTTGCTGTTGTCGTCGTGGTGGTCATTATTGTTGCTGGTGGCGGTGGTGGTGGTGGTGGTTTCGTCCTTGTTGTTGCTGGCGGTGGCGGTGGCGGTGGGGGGGGGGCGGGGGCGGCGGTAATAGCTATTGTTGTCCGCGTCACGTTGTTTCTGCTATTGGGGCCGGAGCACGTTGGCGCTTGTGGTGTTGTTCGTGGTCGCCATTGTTTGTGGTGGCGGTCGAGTTTAGACAAAAGTCCAAGACCCCATGAAAACCATGTTCGTGGCCAGAAGCCTACCGCAGCACCCCACGCAACCCACGCTCGGTAAACACCAACTCCAACTCGCCAATTTGCGAAAAACCAGACGAGGAGGAGTTGGACGGTGACGTCGAGGATGAGGAGGGCGTTGAGGGGGAAGAGGCGCTGGCAAGGGACGGCACTGAGGAGTGGATTTCCGCCAGGCTGAACTGCAGCTGGAGCGCTACCCAGCGCCGGTTTGAGGAGATGGTGGGTGCAGAAAATAAAAAAAATGGAAGAGAACGCCTCTTGTTTTGGACCACCGTACGATTGTCGCCCTCGGCGAGCGTTCATTTCCAGAGGTGGAAAGCACTTCGACGTCCCCGATCGCTTCTTCACGTGGTGTTTCGTAGACCCCGGTTGAGTGTATCGCGACGTTGTTGAGGCACGGATATGGAAGGGATGGGGTCTTGATTTCGTCTCCGTTTCGTCAAGTCCGGTTCATTTCGGTTCGGTTTCCGTGTCGCATCACCCATCCCCTCACCGTGATTCACCCGCGCCCCCCCCCGCGTACTTTGGACGTTCAAGACGGAAGAGACCGGGTGCCAACTAGACCGGTTACTGTAGGGGCGATCTCTGCAATTCTTTTTTCATCGCTTGGTCCACGTACCACATTTACCCACGTACATAAAGAAACACCCCCCCAAATTCACCCCCGGCTCCCGCCCGTCCCCCCTTAACTTTGGACGTTCAAGACGGAAGAGGTCGGGTACGAGCTGGACTGGTCCGTTGAAGACCGGCGCAGCCTCGACAACTTCATTGTCGGTCGCTGCATCCGGCGATCGATCCTGGACGAGGCGTTCACGTGGCTCCCTGATCCCGTGGCGGAAGCCTTGGCCAAGGTGACCCCGATGTTTATGCCCCTACCCCGCCCCAACGGATTGTGTGTTTGTGTGTGGCGTTCTTGTTGGTGTCGACCGCACTGAACGGCTGACCAATGAAACGACGCCAGGCTTAGTGCGGTTGAACGCACAAAATGCTTTGGGAAGGCCAAAATCTGGGACCGTGGGACCGTTTTTGTGTGTTGATGTGTGTTTTATTATTAGCATCGACCGCGCTAACCAGTTGACCAATGAAAAGACGTCGTCAATCTTGTAGCGGGAAAACAAACGCGTACAACACGCTTTCTGATGAAAGAGCTGCTTTGACGGAGGCGGCATTGGACGACAGCAGTGTCCTGCTCATGCGTGTATCTGTGTGGATTCGTTGTTTGTCGCGCTGACCAAAGCTGACACGTTTCTATCGATTGGGCCGCGTGAATGTGTTCTGAAAGTCTGCCGGGGATGGAGTTGACAACGCTTGCTTGATCGCCAAAACATGGCGCCATTTGTTAGCGTATCCATTGTTGCTGTTGATCGGCCACGACCCATCACACAGCACAAGATCCAAACCATGAACCCCTGCACGAAGTTTGAAAAGTCTCCCGATGCCACTGCCGGATATGGTATCCATCGCCGGACTGCGGCCTGCCCTATGTACGTTGTTGAAGAAGTTTTGCCCCTCGTGTTGAGAGGCGCCATCCAACGCGGTGTGCGCTCATGGCAGTTTTGCGTTTTTTGTCGAGCTTCGGCCTTGAAGGACTCTCGCTCCCGCAGGTGTAGTTGTCGTTCGACGTGGTCCGATCGAAGAACAAGTTCGTTGTTGCTGTTCGAACGAAACCGCGATCCGTGGTTGTAAAACGGCGCGGAGGTAGGGAAGACATCCACGATGTACGCACCTGATTCCGTGCACTCTTCGTGTACGCACGCAAACGCTCCTCGTTCGATGTGTGGTCAAGTTCGTTTGTGTTCTGTCCGTTCATTCTATGCACAGTGCCCACTGCGGTCTACTCGCTGCCAAATATTTCGTGCCCGCACTGAAGAACAGGTCGTTTTGGCCAAGGCTCGTTTCACCACGGGGTACACCCCCACAACGACTATCTAGGTTTCAGTTTAGGCGCAACGACAATATAGGTTTTAGTGCAGGCACAACGACTATATAGGTTTTAGTGAAGGCACAACGACTATATAGGTTTTAGTGTAGGCACAGCGACTATATAGGCCTCAGTGTAGGCTCAACGACTTATGTAGGTTTTAGTGTAGGCGCAACGACTGTATAGGTTTTGGTGTAGGCTTGTTGACTGAGCACCTGCCCACATGGCCAGTTTTTTTATGCGTGGTTTTGGTACGCCTAGGCTTGTCATCTCACGCTCTCAAGTGCGGGCGACAAACCTTGTTTCGTTTTTATTTTTTTCCCCGTCCGCCGTGCGCTGCGAGAAAGGCTAAATATCACCCCCCTGCTGATGTTTTTCGGTCTGTTCTTTCTTTCTTTCTTCTTTCTTTCTTTCTTTCTTTCTTTCTTTCTTTCTTTCTTTCTTTCTTTCTTTCTGCCCATCCTACCGATTCTGGCACGCGCGCTTGCGACAAAGTCTAACATAATCAATCTCCTCGTGTTTTTCACTCTTTTTTTTTCTTCTCTTTCTTTCTGCCCATCCACCGATTCCTGCACGCCCCCCCCCGGTGTTTGCGATCGGGGTTGGGTTTTCGTCGCTTGGCAACGACGTTGTAAAACAAGCCCCCCCTCTCGGTTTGCCATCGGGATTGGGTTTTCGTCGCTTGGCAACGACGTTGTAAAACAAGCCAAGTCACTTCGTGAACCTGGCAACCAGGTTACCGTTTGTTTTTTACCTTTGTTTTTTTCTTGGCGGTAACCATAATGGTGGTCGAGTAGATGATGTTGTGCGGGGTGGAGAACCCTCACTCCGCGCAAAGGGGGATAATCGCACCACGTTGGGTTAAAATGGTCAAGCATCCTCAAGGCAGTACACAGTGCTATAACTGTCTCTGGAAGTGAAAGCACCAGAAAATAAATTAAGTCATACGCAGCTGTCATCCGTACGCAAGGAAGTAAGCACAAGATGCCGAACACCCTTAGCAGGATGCAGCGCACCCTTCATGCGATACCTCACGGCGCTTCGCGCTCGGTGGTATGAGAGCCTGGTCCGGTGAGAACCCGGCGTGCTCCGTCCCGGCTTTGTAGGGATGCGAGGTCAATGGTCTAACGACCACGGCATGCACGACTATGAGTACCCCCCCCACACACCGATTCTGGCACGCGAGCTTGTTGCGACAAAGGCTAACATACTCTCCTTGTGTGTTTCGCTCTTGTTTTTGTTTTCTGTCCTGCCCGAATCCGACGCGTGCGCCTGCGACAAAGGTTAATGCCTCCATTCTGGCTTCTCCACCTCCCACCTCGTCTTCAACAACCGAGGAGGCCGCCACCGCCGAGGGGGAGGGGACAGGGGACGAAGACGACAAGGACGGAGAGCGCTGGGTTTCGGGACCGGAGCTGGAGGCGTTCACGGGGGACTGGATGTCGTTGGCGAGGAAGAGAACGGGCAGGACTACCACCGGCGTTGCCGCGGCGGCGGCGGCGGAAGGCGGCGGGCGTGGTAGAGGGCGCCGTGGCGTGGCGAGGGATGTCGAAGCCGTGGTGGGGCGACCCTCCATGGCGCTACAGTCGAATGTGAGCAAGACGAGCGGGTTGGAGGATACGGGTAGAAGTACGCGCCACCTCTTTTTACATCCAACTGCGAGATTTTGGCTTCGGGAACGGACAGGGTTTGGAGGAACTTGGTCGTTGCTGGCTCAGGAATAGGCAGGTTTTGAGAAGTCGACCAATACTGACTGAAGGAAACAGGAAGATTGTGAGAACTTGACTTGTGCTCTTGTCAATGTTAATTTGCCTCGCCGACAGTATAAGAAACGGGCTGAGGAAAATATACAAGGGTCTCAATTGGTGGCGCGTGCTGGAGGATGCTACCACGTGGCACGCGGAGCTTCGGAAAGATATCGACACCGCAAGTAGATCTGATGCACGTGGGCTCTGCCATATCAGAACCGTTGCGCACCACGGGGAGGGATCGATTCTGTTCAACCACCCCTCCGAGCTGTTAAAGAAAAGAGCCCACAACCTCCCTCCCCTCCCTCTTTTCCAGATTGAGCCAAGGCTATGTTGCGTAACAACAAGCAGACACTAGCCCTCTTTCCCTGCCGTCGAGGCACTGCTTTCGTGGCAACAAGCAGATACAACCCATCCTTTCCCTCTGTCGCTCGCCCGATGCCCGCTCTGCCTTTGATGCATCATCGACGCCATCCGCGCGGGTGGCCATACGCCTGTTGAAAAACAGCTGAGGGCGGTGTTGACGCAGGCCAAGAGGCAGCTGCTTCCGGACCTGGTGCTTGAAGTCGATGAAAAGGTGAGGGAGAAATAGATGTTGTCGTGAAAATGCCCGTTTGCCCCTTAGCGAAGACCTCTCGTTCGAAAAAACGCCCTCTCCACTCTCGACGCACACCGCCCGCTTTGCGGCCCTCTTCGTTCATTTTTTGGGATGAGTGTGCGGCCGTCGGGCTACGTTCAGCCGTGTCTGTTACAAGCATTTTTTTTAGTTCAAAACGTTCGTTCATGGATTACCCCCTACATGTTTTCCCTGCGTTTCCGGGGCTCATGTTTTGTTTATTTCTGCTGCTCAACCCTAGTTCTTTGGTTTCCTTTGGTCATGCTGTTGTCGGCGGCCACGTTGGTCTCTGTTGTTGTTTCCTTTCTCCCTCATTCCCGGGATCCTTCGAGGGGGTCAAGGGGTCAACCGGTCCGCATCATAGAAAGTGTTTTCGGAGTTTTTTGGCGGTGTGGAAAATGACGGGGAAATATTCTGGACGGCCCGAATGCGGGCGGTTTCTAAGCGAGGGGCAAAACTCGTCCCAGAAAGACATACGTGATGAAGCAATCCAATGACCAAGGCGGGCATCACATAAGACCTCGTTATCCTTGTGAATTATTTTGTCTCAGGCGGGCCCTGTTAGCGCGGAGGAGAGGCGGGTCAAGGACGCCGCCAGGCAGAAGATCGTCATGTCGGCGCTGGAGTGAGTGTTGACACAGGGGCCGCCAGAAGAAAACACGTAGAGTTCTCTATTTGCGAACGAAAAAACGAGGTTGTAAGAAAAGTTGAAAGGACGAAAGGCGATAGATAAGGCGGTGGTGGGGGTTTGTGTGATAAATCATTTATGTGCAGCCAACCGTGGTGTTTGTCTTTGACCGCGTGGACGTGGTCGTTGAGCGGCTGTGTGCGTGTATGTGTGTGGGTGGTGCATGGTGTGCAAGTTCAAAGAAGTTGCTAAATCGAAAAATCGTGAACAAATTTCCACAAAACGAGCCTCCCTCCACTCCTTTGGAAAAAGTTTCTCCTTGCCGTGGGTTCTGGCGAGGATTGCCAGGAACTTTCCTCAAGATGACGGCTTCACTCAAAATCTGTTCCCTTATTCCACGATTTTCTTGTTTTAGTCCGAATTTTTCTAGTATCAAGGTTTCATCGTTTTTCTTGGGGTGTTCATCGTGTCGGCGTTTCCTCCCCCCCCCTGGCTTCCCCGCCGTCTGTGTGGCTAACTGCTGTGCATCTCTTTCCCCATACGTACACGGTTCTGTCCGGCCTTGCCCCGTTTTTGGCGTTTCACTTGCAGGTGGGAGAAGGAAGAGATCGACGAGCAGCGAAAGGCGGTCACAGACAAGGTGATCATCTGCCTCTTGTTGATTGTTGCTTTGTTTTTTTTTCATGTTGGCCCATCAACAGCAGAGTTCGCCTTCAAACCTTGCGGTCATGTGGGTCGCAAGTGATGGGAGGCTTGCTGGGGCAAAACTGATGCCAAGCAAACCACGCTGGACGAAAAAAGTGGCATGCTGGGGGACAATACCCTCATATACGGATCGGTTGCTCATGTGACCCTTTTTTTTTTTTTCTTGTTCCACCTGTGTGAATGTGGTTTTGGGTTTTGTAGAAGGATTTTTTTCTTAGCTCTGTGAATAACCTTTTTTTTTTTCCTTTGTCTTGTTGTTCTTGCTTCCGCCTTTGCCTGCGTGTGTGTCAGCTGAGAGCGGGCATGACCGTGGAGCAGGCAGACCCCATCGAAGCCGTCCGTAAGAAGCGGCTGGCCAAGGGCACCTGGAAGGCCGAGCGGCGCCGCCTCCTAAACCTCGAGAAGAAGGTGTGCGTACTTGCGGTTCGTTTTTTTGGGCCATCTATACTTTCAAGGCAATCACTCTTGTGTTTCTTCCTTTTAAACGTGAACCTTTTGTGTATGTGGTTTTCTTGTGAGCGTCGACCGCGCTATCCGGCTGATCAGAATGAAACGACGCCAGTCTCCGTGCGACTGAAACAGAGAATGTTTGTAAAGGCCATGATCTGTGTGTGTGCGTGTGTGGTTTTCTCCCGGGTACCATATGTATGTGGCTGTCTTGGCAGAACGCTTCTGTGTGTCCTTTGTCCTGCGAGTCCTTCGTCCTGTGTGTCCTTCGTCCTGTTTGACCCCGGCTGGTGCGTGCGTCCAGAGTCCTAACGAAATCAAGAGTAAATGGCGATGACGAAAACGTCCACCGGCGGCATGCACATCTAGCGACCGCTTGTGTTGGTAGTGTTGTGTTGTTGTACGAAGGTATCAACATCGGCCGATGGGCGAGTTTTTATCTGCGCTGCACGACTGACTGCTGACTCTATTTTTCGTGGGCGTTGTCGCTTCATTTTCCCTTTTTTGGGGGTCGCGTAGCTGTACTACGAGAAGCAAGCGGGGCTGGAGCACGACGAGGGCCCGGCGACGGCGATCCCGGAGCTTGTGGACGACGTTGTGGAGAGCGAGTCCATCCGAAGAAAAGGTAAGCACGGTGCCGTCCCCCTTTTTTTTTTGACTGCCTAAGCAAGGAAAAGTATGTTTATTACGAAAATGGATCAGGCAAGGGGCACGCAGACCCTTACCCTAAGATTGCCCCCCATCTCAGCTTGGCCATTTCTGTACTTGATGCAGTATTTTTGCTTGCTTAAAAACACCGGCGTAGACTACTGTTTTTGTTTCACACGGGAATGGAGGGCTCTCATGACTGAAATTCTAGGCGGCCAAGAAGTGAAAGGGCCCTCACCCCCCAACGGTCCCGCCTATACTCCGCTTTGCGAAGCTGTCGCTTTTCTTCATAGAAACGTTGTGGAATGCCGCTCGATCTTGTATGTTTGACGCGGTTTGGGAGCATACCTGCAGTGTGCCGAACCACCCGTACCGCGCTCGCCTATTTTGTTCGACACAACGCGTGCTTATAACCTGTTTTCGGTGTCCCAAACGCTTTTTTTTTCATCTGGGTAAAAATTCCTTGCGGGAGCAGCGGACGAGTTCTACGCCAAGGAGAAGGCCCGCATCAAGAAAGAGATCAAGCTGCAGGCAGAAGCGGCGGCGATCGCTGCTGCGGCGAAGGCTAAATAAAGACACGGAGAGGCCTCCCCCGCTATCTCTCTCTCTCCCAGCAAATCTGCATTGGCGTAGAGTGTGATAGGAAACTGCGACCTGGATTCAAAGGGGGGAGAAGCTCCGGTTATTGATCAGGAAGGAGGTTGAGTGCAGGGCGCGTGTCTGGTCTTATCATCGCTGCCGTGGTGTGTTGCCTCCCCACGGTGGCGTTTTGGGGCCGAGAGAAGAACGAACAAGCTTTGCTTTACCGTGTGTGATGGCAGATGACAACTGGCTTGCTAAGACTTGTGGCCTCTTTTCCAAGTGAGACGTTGGGCGCGCGTTTTCGTCGCTTTGGCCGCCGTGTGTCGTTGCGACTAGGAGAAGGGAACACGGCGTTATCGAGGTTGGGGGGCGAAATACGGCCTTGGAAATGAATGCGGAGCTGTTGTTGGCAAGAGAATGCCTTCACGAGTGAAACACTCGGAAGAAATGGCGAGAGCATCATGATCATGGGTCATTGAAAGACGCATTTCGCCTAAACTGCTTTAAATTCATGGATGACGCAACAAAAGAACCACGTTGAAAACCCTTCTGCTGAGTTTGTTGTGCCTTGTGCTGGCTAATGCACCACGAAGTTACCTGCGCGAGCCGTAATAAAAAGACAGACAGGAAGCAAGCGATGTCACGCTCCACCAGTCGTCGGCGCCATGCGGGTTACGACCATACAACAGGAAAAATCGGAGGAAGCCTCCACAGACCCATGATGGTTTCGTCGTGAAGCAAGGGAGTGACATGCTTCGCTCGGGGAAGAAAGCACCGGCTACCGCTGCAGTTCTGGGTGTGTGCAATGTCTCGCTCTTCTTCGGTTCGGTTTCGGAGAAGACGACAGCAATTTGACAACTTCTTTCTTACATCGAACACGGCCGGGACAAGCTAAAACACTGCCCTAAAATCCGATCTGCTCTAAAACACTATCTTGAAACCGTAGACAGACGCTGCTGTGCCATTTTGGTGTCGCTGAGAGCTGTCTTTTGACATTTCGCTTGCGGAACTCTCGCCCCGACCGCCGCACACCCCGCCCATGCATCAATGCACGAGTAACAACCGATATCTAGTCAAGAACTTTAAATAATTTGTGCCTCTTGGGGCATCCGTCCCTCCTGCCATGCATCAATGCATGCGTAACCACATATTATACTTTACAGCCTCTCTACATGAGTTGTGCCTCTTGTGGCATCAGTCCCTCCTGCTTGATGAGGGGGGTCCCTCTCGCAGTCTAGACTACGGCAGTACACGTCGGTTTCTTATGTCGACTATCGCGATGCCGGCGACTGGGGACGAATTTCCTCGCAGTACGCTATTTATCTGAACTGCAGACACGGTGAACGCCATGGCTGTTGAAGCTAGGAGCCTCATCAAACACGTGAAATACGCGCGTTAGACCAGTGATCATAGCAGATGTAAGCGTTGGCCTGCTCAAGTGGTCCAGACGAATTAGTGCCGCAGTATTTCCAACGTAGTGTTCCAAACACATGGAAGCGATCACCATGCACACACGAAGCAGCAGCCAAATCCACTTCCAATTTCACAAGCGTTCTCGAAGTACGAACCCGAGATCGTATGAGATGCATACCAAAGAAATATAATACCGTACAATAAAAAGACGCCCTTAAACATCAAGGATGCGCCTGGCAGTACCGGCAGGACCCTACAGGAGTGACGACGATTACTCAAGCAAGCTGCTTGGGGCGAAGAGAAGGCTTTGACCCTTCTCTGGTCACCAGGGTCCTCGGAGGAGGGTTCTTCTGTCCCTTGTCTCGCCCTCGAGTTTGTCGAGTGACCATCTGTACGCGCTACAAACCGTCGGTGTTGAAGCCGTAGCCGTCGCTTTGCTTGCTGCCGCACGCCTGTGTTTGATGTCACAAGATTCCGAGTGGTTCGAGTAATGAAAAACCAAATATTCCTCCAGCAACAATATGTCGGCATGTACAAACACTATGTGCATACCGAACCAAACGAGCCAACCCGGCCTCTTTCCGTGGATAAACGGTCCAGGATAGAATCTTCCGTTCTCTGCCGATCCTCGTGTACTATGCAATGACATGGTGCCTCCCAACCTAACAACAACGAGGGTTGGGATGGTATGGGTGACTATCGGCAGTCGCTTCCGTTTCACTTGGTGCTTGGTGCTTCATTACCCCAGATTGTAGACTGTAGGCACCGGCCCCTCCGTTGCATTACAAGCATCACAGGGCACATCCTACAGCTAGGGTTTTGCATATCTGCACCAAGTTATCGTTGTTGGCTCGCCTGTCCATGGTAGCCGTCGAAGCAGCTGCACACGCCAGTCGTGTAGTCGCAGATTCCGCGATTCGAGCAATCCACATGGCATCTGCCGATTTTGACGAACGGAGTGAATCGGATGGACTGGTGGTCTACTACAGTATGTTGCTTCGCTCAATGTAGAGAACAGTCTTCCAGCAGCAACATCGACCAGCTGCGCTGATTGGCGTGCATACGCGTAAACGCGAATCAGCGGCAGGCACTACATTCATTTTCTTCGCCGGTGGAAATTCAGTGAAATACAGTCGACGACTGTTGTCATAAAGTGAATTGCATTGACACACCGGTTCACTCAATATCGAGAAACGGCAGCAATCCGCCGAATGACATTGCATGCTTCCGTCCCAACGATATGCAGACGGAAGCCGTGGTTGCCACAGAACGGAAAGTACTTTTTTCTGGAGATTGTATATATTTGGGCATATCGTTCGTCTCGCCGTGGTCTGTCCCGTGAACGGGGTGAGAAATAAAAATAATTGCCGAATCTTCATTTCATTCCGGGGTTCAGCATGTGCGATGATATTCACTCTTGACTCGCTGTATGCTTGTCTATTTTCTCACAGGTTTCCTGCTGATCCCACCCCTCGCCCACCATCGGCAGTTTTGTTTTCACAGTCCGTTTCGTCGATTAGCGTATCTGCGAGGAAACCAGACAGGTGGGAGGGAAGGAAAGCATCGTCAGTGAGATTGGGTGGTGGCAGGCACATTGTCACTGTTCCTTCGTGCGGCCGGTTCACCAGCTGCGCTATATGAATACCGCATGGGGGATGGTGCGTTAACGACGGAATCGAACCTCAAAATAAAAAGTATGGATAGTGTTTACATCGTGTCCTCACAGCGGGATCACCCTTCCGTGTCGAACGAAGTCAAATCGCACTCATGCATATGCGCGGAAATCCCACCCCTCAACCCCCGGTTAATATAGCAGCTCTTCCGCAAGAAACCACAGAAACCGTAACCTGGGGGAGTCTCTGGTAACAAGCGAAGCACAACGACGGACAAACTCTGAGGCGACAACGCCTTCCGTTACTCTCACCCACCCATCCACGCGACTTCAAGCCCTTACCAGGATCGTCCCCAGTCGGGCAGTGCAACATCGAGCAGTCCGGCCCAAAGTACTGCGCTTGCTGGGTCTGGCCTCGCCCCAGCCCCACCTTGTCGTTCATTGCGTGCCGAAAAAATCAAAGTTGCAATGGAACGATGCAGCACGGCTTGAGCGCCAGCTTGAAATATCAACACTTGCCATTCTCTGTGAGACCTACTGTACACAGATTCGACGCAAAGCGGTCGCTAGAAACAGCTCTCATCCCCCGCAGCGCATTTTCTACTCGAAGCCCTCCCCTTCGCTCGAGTCGGCGCCCCGCCGACTACGCACCAACCACATGAGCAACATCCCTTTGACCTTTTTGGGAGTGTTATGTTGCGATGATACAATTGCCGAATGACGCCCAAACGTAACGGGACCATATTCATGGACTTCATGAGCAACCACTTCTGGCTGTCTATACCAGAGGGTACACCGCATGGTGCATGTAGCTGCCTACTGCTCCTTCGAGGAAAGCGATCTCGCTCCGGCGTCAATCAACGGCCACCTACCACACAGCGAACGACCCGCCGGATCACCACCGCTTTCTACTGCAGCATAAAACCCACGAGATCTCCAGCCGCAATGTTGTCAATCTCACCTCCCAGGAAGAGTCGCAGACGCACCCAAACACAGACCGGGACTCCCACGTCGCCGTCCCCTCTGGCGAGTCCCACCCGTATACCACTTCGAACCCATCCGCGGAGTCCCCCCGACTCGAAGAAGAAGCTTCGGTGGAGGAGTTTACCAGGGGCTCCGCCGTGCGCATCATCCCCATCTCGCGCATGTTGCGGCACGCGCCGTTCCCCGAACAGTCCTCGGGACAGGCGTACCTGATGTTTAGCGGGTTGTCAGCGGGGAGGGCGGTGGGGGAGGGGGGGGGCGTACTCACGTTTTACTTGCATGCCTTAGCGGTGAGACCATTGACCACCAGTCCTCGACAGGACAGGGCGGGCGGGGTGAAGCAGTCTCTACGTTCTGTGTGTGCCGCGCGGAATGAATTACCTGGAGGAAAACGTGGAATCGGTTCAAACACACAGACAGATCGCGGTGGCGAACGCAACCCCAGGTCGACACAAGCTTCGTTTGATCATAGGAAAACAGGCGTGTAAGAACGCGCAGTCGTTGGAGGTTCTGTTCGCAACTGCAGTGTGCCAATTTTGGAGAAGCAAACACCCTACCAATGTCGTCCCATTGGGCGACAAGGCTCTCGCCAGCCTCGCCCGCCTTGAGGATGTATGTAGAACACATCAACCGAATGTACAGCGTCGTTTGACTATAACCGCGGCGCCGCTCGAGCGGGGTCTACGTCGTGGTACAGTAGCTAGCTGTGCCTACGTCCGACAAATCGTGGTTGAGCTTCCTTTTCGGGGTCTGGTCAACATGTACTTTGGTCGAGGAACACTTGGCTGCATGTCGACATGAATGTTGGCTTGCCTCTCGCAGGCCCGCCCCGCGTAGCCCGTTTCGCACAGGCATATCCCGAAGCTGCGGATGCAGGTCCCCATGTTCGAACACTCCGCCATCGCGTGGGAAGTCTCTGGGTCAGGCCGGGGTGACCTGCTCGCCGCCACCGCCGTCGAGCGTCGGCAGAACGGGAGTGAGACAAGAGGGTCGGAACCGGAGTCTGCGGGAGAGTCAAAGAGTCCTTTATCATGTAATAATACGGCTGGACGTGTTTGCCCGATGCTTGCCATCGCCGCCTTCAGAAGTCCATGAGTGAACAACTCATCACAAACAACCTTGGCTCTGGAGGAAAGGTGAACGGCGCGGCAACTGCCGTATTTTGGCGAAGCGTCTCACCCGGCAAGCACTGGACCCCACGACACCCCGGAGGGACAGGTCATCTCCGAGCAGTCTCGAGCGACGTCCGGCGCGTGCAGCAACTCCGACGGGGATCCAAACCCCTCGGGGCAGTCGCACCTTTGGCGGCAGTAGTCACACTCTCCTGTGAAAACGAACGAACAGGTGGCGGGTGGGGGGCGCAAGGGTAGAACGCGGCGCCGAAGATCGAAGAAAAACGGTTAGACACGCAGCACACGCAGTACAGTACGAGAATAATTGTGGCGTAAATAGACACCAATTAGGCGTGCGTGTAGCCGTGACGGGCGGGACCCCGGCAGTTGGGGAGAAATCGAAGGCCACGCGGGCCATGAATGGCGGAAAGAGCCACACGCGGCTCTAGTCGACTAACCCAAGTACTCTCTCTCTCTGATACGTACGTGACACCTTTCTGCATCTCTTGTCGGTGGCTTTCCCACGAGATGCTCCTTCCCACACTACCTACACAACAGACCTATGACACATGCCCTCGGAGCAAACTCGCCCTTGGATTAAGCCCGTAAGCCCGCGTGGCTTTCACACGTTGCTTTCGAAGGATGAGATTCACTACCGAGGGAAGTAGCACTACAACCAGCGCCTGAGTACGCCTTGAAGCATCGACATAAATGTTCACTCTACTCTATCACAGGTCATCGCGAATGAGATATGTTTACTGGTCATTGACAACAACTAAAACACCTTGTCCGGAGCAGTAGTTGAGCTCTCGGCAGCCGGGCCCGACCGCCTGCGAAAATGTGAACTCCCCGGTAGAGTTCCAAGGAGGGTCGGACGACGACACCACCGAGATGGTCGAGGTGGTTTCGTTCTCACCCATCCCGCACTGTTAAAACAGGTAGGTCAAGCCAGGAACGAAAAAGGGATCCGTTGACGAAGGAGGAGGAGCGAATATCCGTTGAAACAGGAGCAGCGAGCGCGCCGTGTTGGTTTGTGCGAGCTGAAGCCGTCAAAGAGAAACGTTGACGTTGATGTATCGACCAATGGACAGTGCGCTTATTGCGCCACCAAAATATTCGCTGGACGATGAAAGAAGGGGTGGCACGAGGAGTGGCCGAGCGAGACGGCCATTTGGAGACAATTAAAGGTCATCGACAGGCAACGGACAATATTAATATTTTCATACGAGTCCAAATATATGGACCTTTGGTGGGGACTTTGGCCTCAAGCCTGCCTGTATGAATGTGTTCGATGGAGGTACGGATGAAGCGCCTGCTTGAGAGGCAGGCAGGGTACAGGGGGAGAAGGGGAGGTATGACATAAAAAAACATCGGAATACTTTAGCGCACCGCACTGGAACAGTCACACCTGATTGTACCATTGGAAAGGGTTCCTGAAGGGGCAACTAGGGAGAGCCGGCGAAAGACATTTTTTCGCTCGCATTTGTTTACAGACAGTCAACAGATTCATTTCGTTTCGACAACCAGACTTCGATCATCGGAACAGCAACCAACACGCCCGGAGGTTCCAGGTTACTAACGCGCGATAGTCTCCATACTGTTAGTCTCCTGTCTGCCGCCGTGGCAGCGGGGACACGCATTCACGTCTGCCGTGCAAACCTTACCTGTGCCCTTATCCCGTTGCTCCTGTAGACCGTGACCTCGTGCAGCTCCCCCGCCGGGATTGGCGCTAGGGCCTGAAGCCGAAGCATCGAGTCTTCGTACCCCCGCTGCTTTCCAGTGTTTTCCCCCGCCAACGGGTTGGTCGTACGAAGGCAGGCGTCGGGCGTGGGGGGACAGCAGCGGCAGTGGTTTTAAGTGGTAGTCTCGGATGTGAAACGAATCCAGATTTTGGATAAGAGATCGGGAAGAGTCGAATGTCCGATGAAGCATGATGTCGACTCTACCCTCTCAGTCTCCCCTTTCTCTCTCTCGAAAAACAATAGTATCCGAGGAGGAAACCTATCTGTCATACGAATCTTCGTTTGAAACGGCCGCTGCCGCCGTGAAACAGGTGGGCGTGCATGGCTTCGGAGCGCGCTATGTCCCTTCCTCAGGGCGTGGAGTAGACCCGAGTGTGCTCTCGATGGCGGTCTGTTCTCTCGAAGGCGCTGCCGGTATATCGGCAGCACTGCTAGCGCCCGCACTTACGCTTTTGGTCGAGGCAGGGGTTCTGTTCGTTCCTACGTACGTCTCTGCTACGAACGGCCGCGACATACGTGTCAGTGCATGTTCTTAACCGTAACTCACAAGTGGTGCTCGAGTCCTTAAACTTAGTTTGTCTAGACTCTCAAATTCATACAAACATGTAACTGCCAACGTCTTAGGCGCGGGCGGAAACTGCAGTAGTGATGTTCTAGATGAGTTATTCAGTGTTTTGAAACGGGGGGTGGTTTGCGGGAGGTACTACTGTCTCCTCGTCGGGCCGCGTGGTAGACCGTTTTCTATTTCTAGCTTGGGCTTTTGGAAGGTTGGCAGTGGCCACGGTTTAGTACGGTATGAAGTTTCAAAATGACTATGCCGGGAGCCGGCTTTCGAAACCACCCCGAAAGAAGGTACTGCTGTAGTCCCAAGAACGTTCGATTCTTGTCAAGATATTCTCAACGAAGCCGTTAGTTATTCCCCCATTTCTCTTCTCAATAAAGACGGCCTCGGCCACGGCCTCATCTGTGTTTGGGGCGATCCTCAGAATGACCTAGCGACGGGCTTCTCTCTTACCTCACCCTCCACGTAGGTGCCCTCTTCCCAGGACGCGAGCCAGGTGCTTCCGTTGGATGATTCGCCGGCAAGCAGCAGGTCTCCGTGCAGGAAGTCTCTCCCCTCGGTCCCGTTCCCCTCCCCCGAAGTGAACCCCTGCCCCCAAGACGATATTTTTTGCGACCCGACCCCGATTAGACTAACTTTTTCGTTTTTCTCTGCCAAACGATCATTGCGAGAGAGGTCTCACGACGGCTTTTCACCGTACTTGCCTAGGAGAACCATGTGCGTTTCCTCTCTCATTGGTGCGCTGACATCCCTACAGTTTTTAGTGTGTCGTCCGTCTGTTCGCTTTCCCCTAAGGCATCCCTCTGGCCATTACACATGTGCGGCCCGAACGCCATTCTTGTCCCTACCTGTACAAGTTGCTACGGATAAAATGGAAGATGTGTATATACGAACAACCAACACCGCGCGCGGGATCTCTGTTGAAATATTTCGCTTCAAGCACGCTGTGCGTAACCTCTAGCAAACCTCTCTTCTCGGCGCGCAGTCCAGCCCACCAGTACAACGCACAACTTCGCGTGTCAACCGGATGGTGTTATCTCGTGAGTTGCTTTGGTTTTCACCCACGGGAACGGTCACTTGGGATCAACGGGCAAAAGACGTGGATGTGGACGAGTCAATCATGGTTGCTTTCTTCCCCCCGACATTCGCCTGCTGTTTTTTGTTGTTTTCTACACGCCTGCTTTCTTTTCTGCCCTAGCAGGCCGTGGATTCACTGCAAGGGGAGCACACGCTCTTTCAACTAGCGCTGTCGCTGGTTCGCGGAATGGAATGCCGGTACGGGATTCCGCACCTTGAGGTTCACGGTGACGTTGTCCCCCTCTACGAGGTCTCTGGCTGGCTGGAAGCCCACGGTGATGTGGGTCATCGTCTGGGGGAGCGGCGGGTCGAACCTGAGGATACCGCAAAAAAGCGCGACACACAAACAGCATAGGAAGATCTGATGCTGATCCTACCGTGGTACGGGTTGTTGCTCCAAGCGTGGGCTATGTGGGATACCTTGTGAGAGATGTGCTATACTCCGGCTTGGTTTGTGGTTGCGGGGGAAGAGAGTGGTATTGTTGGGCCCCTTCTCTGAGGGGGTCAGCTATCTAACTCGCTCGCGAGAAGCACACTCGAACGGTCCTATTTCTGCGACCGAGCATCGAAAAGTAGAAGGCCTAAGGCTGACGTTCGATAACACCACCACCACCACCACCACCACCACCACCACATGGCAACAACGAACAGCAGAGGCGGTCGTTGGTGAGAATATGGAAATAGTCGTCGGCAACACCCTTTGGTTTGGGAAGGTGGGGGGTGAGTCGTCGGTACCAGACTATAGCTATCACCAACCGAAGCCCTAACTCGTTTCGGAAGGGAGGTAGGTAGGATGGAGTGATCCCCATCAAAACCATCAGTTGGCCAAAACCCTCGTGGTTCACAGTGCTCGATCTCTCCCGCTTACGCGAGAGCGCCCCACAGGCGGCGGCGAACAGGTGTTCGGACTCACGTGAGGGTGGCCGGGGCCACGTAGCAGCTCATGGGGATCGCTTCGGTCTCCTCGATAGTCCAGTCAACCTGCCCGAACATCTTGTAGAACGTCGTCGTGTCGTCGACCCAGGCGTAGAAAGCCGAGTGGTCTGCCTGTTGTTTTTGTCGCGGAACCGGCCGAGTGCGGGTCAGTTATGGGGGGGGGGTGTACTCACAGCCATGCATGCCGCAGTCGTTGGACCAGTGACTTCGCAACCCTACAAAGCCGGGACGGTACGGGAACGGCGGCAAGTCGACCACAACGATAGCCAACGGCGACAAAGGCGCTAGCGACAACCACCACCACAGCTGGGGCAGCAAACCATCAAAGCTGCAGAATGGGCTGGAATCTTGGTCATAACGGAAGGCAGAGAGAGAGAGAGAGAGAGAGAGAGAGAGAGAGAGAGAGAGAGAGAGAGAGAGAGAGAGAGAGAGAGAGAGGAGAGAGAGATAGAGCTGAAGCATTGTGTGGGAGCGTGCACGTTTCAAGGGGGACCTTCGGGGGTACGCTTGCGGAAAAGGGGCCGCTGAACGAAAGGGGCCGCTGAACACTCCTCGAGTTAACAGCGAGAGCAAGCACGACAAACCAACCCGGCCGTGCGACCCATGGCAGGCGCTGTTTACTTGGAGGATGTCAAGACCCGGGGAAATGGCAAGGCTACTCACGAAACCCTATCCTGAGTACCCCCGTCACCCGCCCGAACAACTTGTGCGGCGAGGGGTGGTGGCTGCTAATAGACTCCGGCCTACTGGAGTGGGCGGCGAACGACTCGTGTTGTAGAGATGAAAATGTTGCTTTTGAACCGGCATCGATAGGAACTGCGGCCTTTACTTCAAAGTATACGACTGCCCGTTTCGCTCGGTGGTATCCTTATCCCTAACCCTCGCCCTGGTCCTGAAGGGTTCTGCGGCAACCAACAATACTCACCGGGTGGCCGCAGCTAGACTTGAGGCCGGACATACGGTCGATGATGGCCGTGTAGCTGATGTCGGCGTCGAGAGTCTTGGTCGTGTAGAGGCTGAAGACACTGTCCTCGTACTCCTCTTCCGGCGTGCCCTCGCTCCACCAACCCCGAAACCTGCGAGGGACGGAGTGTACATTTATTGTGTTCCCAAAGCTGAAAAAAAATAAGTACTCCCCCAAGACAACAACAAGAACACACAAGGAAACAAACCACACCCAACCGCAACCAAAATCCGAAACAACATGACACACGATTCTAATGCGTCTTCAAACCTGAAAATGACGAACTACTTCCGAAAACAAAAACAATAGCACACCCAACCATTCCTATGTTGCGGACGACCTCCCCGCGTGTTCAGCGCGCACAGCATCGGTTTTCAATCGTGGTTGTCAACATCAGCACACTTTTGGAGGGGCGCTGGTAGCGTACGTTGAAAATAGAGCCTTGAAGAAAACATCAACTCTACCACAGTTACGGCTATGGTTACACAGGCGATGATGGCGGCGGGGCGTGAACGTACGACCTCAATCTCCTTCCCGTGTCAGGCTTTCCCTCCTTCCAGCACGCCCAAGCACAAGTACAAGAACTAGGGTGTAGAAGGACAAGAATGCTGCTGGAATAGGACGAGAGTGTTATTGATGTACCTACGACATATGCTGCAGGATTCAGTATCCATCAATTTTTCTGCGCGACCCCACCCTCCTACGTCCCCGTATGTATGTGTGCTCGTCTCATCTATTTTGGTATGCTAGACTATATCTGTTAATATATTCCAGCGGTGCCGGCAGCAGCAGCAGCAGTGTCAGGGGGGGTATGTCTCACGTGTCGGAGGGCCAGCCGAAGCCGAAGTTCCCCTCGTCTTCCTCGTTAGCGAACCCGAAGTCCTCCCCGGCCGTGCCATTTCGCTCGCCTCTCGTGAAACCCGCCAGGATCAGCCGAATGAACTTCCTGGTTTTGGACATTGTGAATCGAAAGAAAAGCCTGACTGAGGGTGGGTGTGTTTGTCGTTGTTTTTGTAGTTATGGGTCTGTATTACACGGGAATTAGTTGTTTAGTGGTACGGGGGTAACTTCGGAGGTGTGCCGCATAATTTTGTATTTTGGGGGGCAGTGATTATTTTCTTTCACCATTCCTCGTCGCGAGAAAGACTAACGCACGCCCAAAGTCAGCTTCGCCGGGCACGGCAACAGCAGTTGCGCGGGCGTGCGCAGGATATTTGGTCGCACTTTCTCGCGCCGCCCTTTCTCCAATGGCAGTGTTTACAGTGGGTATTGCCCCTTAATGGGAGCACACGGATGGCTCCGCAAGGGTCAAGCATGGAACGGATACGGGGAGAGAATGGGAAGGAAGTGCAAAAACACATGGTGTGGAGAATACGCCAAGTTCGGAACAGGACTCATAAGAGACAGGGTCAGAGGTTTTTCCTCAAGCTGAGGTGCGTGGCCGGTGGTGGTCTCAATCAAGGCTAGGGCTTGGGCACGGCTGCAGCAAGTTTCTGCGAGCACGATTGGAAAAGCACGGGGGTTGCTCCATCTCGCTCGGGTGCACAGTCGAGCTGGCTCGAGGTTTTCGTGCACCAAAAATCTGTTCCGACAAATGTTCTCCGCGCGAGGGGATCGGCAATCATACGACGTTCCTTACCCTGGTACGGAAGTGCCGAACAAAGGCACCGTACTACCACCTGGTGGCCGGGACCACAGAAGAACACACACAACGACGGGCTGTTCGCTTGGACTGTTGCGGGAGCTTAGGTTGGTATATAATACACGCCACATCAGACCCCCACGGTCCAGTTACTCCGGTGTCTTTCGCTTTCATGTTTCGAGACGCAGGGCTCGCTCTGGCACCCCCTTCCCCCGCCCCAGTATAAGGAGCGTGCCGTCACTTTGTTGATGTGTGAATGAACACCAGCCTGTTTCATCAATCCATCTGTGCTACTTGCTGGCCTAGGTACCGCTCTAAGCTAGCTTCCTCACCCTTCCGTGATGCTGTAGGTGGGAGTGAAGGTGAACGTGACTTCCGTGGGGTATCCAACCTCCGGGGGGTCAAACGACAGCTTCGTGTCGTAGAGCGCTGACGCGAGATTCGGTCGGGGGAAATGGGTCGGGGCGAGAAGGTGTGGAATAGTGCGGCTTGGAAATCTCCCTTAGACAAAAGTGGTTTTAATATTTTACCGATATCGCTTAGAAAAGGCGGTTTTTTACTATGTGCCTCGTGAGATTCGGGAGGTCACCGCACCATGAACGACAGCCTTATGCAGAGGATACATACATGTTGACCTAGAGAGCTACACCCAAAATTTGAAATTTGAAATTTGAAATTTGAAATTGAAATTTTGTAATCCTGCTACTTTGTTGTGTCATACAGCGGGGATACAGCACCGCGCTCACCTTGCGCGGGCCCAAACATAGTGCAGCACGCGATGGATGTAGCAAAAAAGAAAGCCTTTCCCCCTACCGCCATCCGCTTGGGATTGGCCTTCCGTCGAAAGGAAGATCGAATCGTGCCTCGGACGCTAGCTCTCGCCGTTGTTGGTGGGGTCAAGTCCACCGGCCGTGGCGAGGTTGATTGCGACGACGGCGAGGGCGGGGGCAGGGGTGCGAAGGTGTTTTGGAAGTCACAGATGGGAGATGTCTCCTCCGTTCGCCGTATCCTCTTCTGCCGGGAGCTGAAGAAAGGAAGGCGAGGTATCAGGCGCACCCGTCTCTTCTCCTCGGGTGCGACACCGTCGAGATCGGGCTCCAACAGCCTACACCGGCTGCTGCTCCGACCGTTGCGGCTGCAAGCCTCACTACCCTGCTCAACATCATCTCCAAGGGAACAAGCGCCGTGACCATCTGCAACAGCAGCAGGGAGGCTGGTTGCTTTGCGATAGCCACGCGGAAGCTTGTGCTGCAGGTGCCGATGCTCCTGGCGCTGCTGGCACTGCTGTTGCGGCTGTTGCTGCCGCTGCTGCTGCATTTCTGTCGATCCGTCCTTCGCCGACGGCAGCGACCAAGACACCGAGTAGGGGTCGGACATCGACCGCGATCTTGTCGCTGTGCAGCAATCATGCCCGGAGCCACTGCTACTGCCGTTGTCACTACTCACGCCCGCCGCCAGCATCAGTAGATCCGTGCTGTTGTTCGAGCTCAGCCAGGATGGAGGCACAAAGGATGCGGCCGCGGCGGCCGCAGCAGCCGCCGCAACATCGTCCGCACCATGGCAGGCGGCAGCATCAGCGCGGCGCAGTTCGCCCGGTGCTGATGCCGAAAGAGCTGCCGCCGTGGCTGCAGCCGACCGGGCATCGTCTACAGATTTCATGCGCCTGGATAGATAGCGGGGGCGCGGGTGGTACCGCCACGAATCGGGTGGGCGGAGCGCACGTCGAACTCTGTCCGTGCTGCTCCCGCTGCTGTTGGGTCCGCTGTTGTTGTTGATCACATCGCTCATGGTGCGTTTTGGGTACACCTGGCAGCACTTTCCTTTGGGAGGGTATTGCGCCGCAGGTATCATATCTTAAAAATTAGTACCCACAGGAATGGGGTCCGCGTAGCGTCTGGTCTCGTTCTCTCCACGTCTCGTTGGTTGTTGGTGTCCCTGTCCCTCTGTCCCTGTCCCTCTCCGAACCTGCTGAGTGGATCTGGTCCCAAAGTGATGGCGAAGGACCAATTTGAGCTCCGTGGGGCCCTCCTGCACAAAGGCACCCCACCGAATACATTGAATCGCGCGGCAACATCAGTAGAGGCATCCGGTTAGACTTTTGCCATGCTACGGTGCTGTTGCGGTATGCATACGCAGATGCATATGCATATATGCATACTGCTGTATGTGGACTCACGAAAGATATGTTCCTTTGTGTATCCAGAGCTGTGTTTGACCTAGTGCGTTCCTCGTTGGCTTGCCTGGGGAAGCGGGTTCTCAATGGACGCCTCCACTCAGAACAGTACACCTCACACTGAGCGCGCCCATGTACTTTGCATACCTCCTACTCGGCGCTCGCACGCCAGTACAGCCATATGGGCGCTGTCGATATCTTTTTCCTAGAGGTTGGTAATCTCATACATCCCGTTTGGTTCAGTAGAGCTCACCTCCCAACCTTGAATATCTTGACGCGTCGGCGGGCGTCTGTCCTGAAAGGAGCGGTGCTGCCCCCGGAGAGGGTATTGCGCCACTGGTCATCCACCTCGAGTATGGTTTTATGGACACAGAACGCGCACGACACCGGCGACAACGAGGCGGGTGCACCGTCTGTACCCCCAGCAGCTTGCTCGGCTGGTAAAAGTGTCCGTTGAGATATGGTTCCGAGATTTGGTTCTGAAGACGGGAAGACATACGGTGCTGTAGTCTATCATACATCCCGCAAGAACCTATTGAACTCCCCCGATGCGAGCCCGCGCTTCTGCTAACACTGCTATCCTCCCTCTCTCTACTCTCTGCCCCCCACTCCTCTTCTCTGCCCGATATAGGCGCCTTCTGTCGTCCTCCAGGCTTGTGTGAAGTCGATCTGCTTTTGCTTCTACAGCTGTTGTCGGTGCTCTCCCTGCTAACGAGGCGACGACTTGTTGATCTTGCACACGGCAAAAGCGGGGACTTGCACAGAACACAGCTCTATCGTCGTTTTCGTGAAAGGGAGCTTTCGACAACGGATCTGTGGGACAGCTCGCTAGCCCTGAAGGGGGGATTGCCACAACACCACAAACCATGTCGTCGGCCGCGGAGGACTTTTCCAGCGTGGATATGTTTCCAGGCACAATGACGGTGTACGGAGCGTGCAGGCCGGTGAGAGATGCCTTTTGCTGCTGGGGAACAACATGTCATGTTCGTACGTTGGCGGCAGCCACGACTACAGAGTATGTGGATAGTGTACCACTTGGATACTATTATAGAGCTGTTGTACATAGATATGCATACATATGAATCGCATATCGTCCCAGCAGAACGAGAGGGGAAGGCGATCAATCACAGCATTTTTGCAGGCAGAAAGGCTATGTTACGCGACACATCACACGCCTTGGTTCGCAAAAACGGCTTTGGAGAAAGAAGCGATGAAGTGGTGAAAGCACCAGACATCCGTGCCAACATTCGCAAGTGTATCGTGAACTCTGGCAAGAAGTCCACAATGAAACCCTCATCGTACACCCACATACACGCACATACACCCATTCGAATCTAATACTTTCCTCGTGTAGGCCTGTTCGGTGCTTAAGCTTTCTCTCGTCTCGTCTCTCCTCCTCCTCCTCCTCCTCCTCCTCCTCCTCCTCCTCCTCCTCCTCCTCCTCCTCCTCCTGCTCTTGGTTCGGGATGCACAGGTGAGCTCGTACGAGCGGCTGAACCGGATAGGGGAGGGGGCCTACGGCACCGTCTATCGAGCCGTTGACAAGCAGACCAATAGCATTGTTGCCCTGAAGAAGGTGAGAGTGTGTGTGGGCGTGTTTGTCTTTTCAAGGCAAGACCCGACTGGTCACTGAATGACGAAACAATACGCATGCACTTCAAGAGGACGGCAGTACCGCGAACACGCTCTTGTGTAAAGTGTGCATGCATGTCCTTGTGTCTTGTGGTAGGTCGACTAGGCTAACCAGCCGACCAACGAGAGACGTCGGTGCCAAGCGGGAAAAATCGACCCCTCCCCCCCAAAGGGGAGCCAAAACTCGCTCCAACCCCTTTGGCAAGAGAGACACGCACCACAGCTCGTGTCCTCTCTCTTGTTTGTGTATGTGCTCGTACACGCACGTGTGAGTATTATTATTTTTTGTTGTCAGCATCGACACCCCACTAACCGGCCGACCAAGGAAAGACGTCAGAAGGCTTAGGGGGGCCGAGAGCAACCAAAATGCTTTTCTGGGTGCATGCACTGGACCCCCTGGCAACGAAGGCACGAGGCAGCAACACACACGAGTAGCCCCCCCACCCAACCCCTTCTACGAATGTCTGCGTGCCCCCGCCTCCCAAGGTATCCTACACAACGGCAAGTAGGATGGGTTTTATTTCACAAGGCAAAGACACACCCCCACACCCCCACACTGCTGTCACCCGTACGCAAGGAAGTAAGCACAAGATGCCGAACACCCTTACCAGGATGCAGCGAGCGCACCCTTTCATGCAACTCGCCGAATACCTCACGGTGCTTCGCGCTTGGCGATGTGATAAGCCTGGTCCGGTGAGAACCCGGCGTGCTCCGCCTCTGCTTTGTTGGGATGCGAGGTCAATGGTCTAACGAGTACGGCATGCACGACTATGAGTACCCCCCCCCCCCCCCCCCATGCCAATCCCCGAATACCTCACGGCGCTTCCCGCTTGGTGATGTGAGAACCTGGTCCGGTGAAAACCCGGCGTGCTCCCTCCCGGCTTTGTAGGGATGCCAGGTCAATGGTCTACCGACTACGGCATGCACGACTATGAATACACCCCCCCCACCCTGCCCCCCCGCCTCCCAAAAGTAAACCTT